AACAAAATATAATTAACTATTTAAAATGTTTATGATTTAAATAAAAATTTCCTCACTTGCACTATGTTCTAAATCTGATATTGTTATTATAGCTAGATATTCATTTAACTTTTAGCAATCATTCTTGCTATACTGGGTATTAAGGACGCCACTGAATTAAATTTATGATGATTGAGCGTTAGAATTTTTTTAAATTTTTCAATTGCAAAATTGAATAAAACATTTTTAGAAGACTAAAATTCTTTTGTTCAAATAGATTTCTTTTTAAATAAAATTCCTAAAAACAACTTGTGTATTGATAGAAATTGTTTGATCTTGATATCGCTTTAAATTAAGGTTAAGACTATTGTTATTGTTATTGTAAAAATTAAATACAATAACAATTACAATGCAATAATGTTGTATTGTAATACTAGAGATGTAATTAAAACATGGTTATTTATTTGTTGCTGTGAATAAAAACAGTTACAATAACTTTTTTTTTCTTTCTAACAATACATTAAAGCTCTAAAATTATTGTACTATATTGTTGTGATGTAAAACAATTACAATAACTATTGTATTGTATTGTTGGGATAAAAAACAATTACAATACAGGCCTTCTCGTAAGAGGCGTGCGATCGCACACCTTATATGACCATGCATAAAGTTCTTTGTTTTAAAAACTTGACCATGGCTCATAGCAAGTTTTGATAATTATGCGCTAAAAAAAACAAAGCAAATTAAAATAAACAATCCATAAACTGAAAAGAGAATAAAATCCTTAAAATAATATATAATACAAAAATTAACCTAAAAGAATAAAATATTCCAAGAATGATAAGATAAATAAAGGAAAAACCAGAAGAAAAAAATCAAAACATTTATTAATTAATGTAAACTTAATTGTAAGCGAAAGTAAAAATAAATTATGACAGCTCTAATAATCTTTATCATTCCTTCCCTGAATAATTAGGCTAATACAAGGGCGAATCCATTGTGAAGGAACGGGTTGCCCCCTCCCTCAGATTTTTTATTTATTTTTTAAGAACTTGATGTTTAAAAACGTAAGTAACTTGGGCTGTTTAAAAGTGCCATGAAATTTAATAAAATTTTGTGGTGCAAGTTTAAAATTTTATTAAAAATTAATAGGATACAGGGTGCAAGATGTGAAATTATTTTTTTATAATTTTGTCTAAACTTATATTGACATGTTTCACCGGATGATGACATCTAAACTAATTGATTAACTACATTAAGCGCATGAAAATAATTTTTTTTTTTCAATATATCTAACTGCTAATGTGTAATAAATTACAGCGTTATGGAATCAGAGAACCATTGACCTGGGTAATTATTGATTAGATTGTCTAAAAATATGAACTACTTTTGTTTTGTTAAAAAAAATTTCTACATTTTCAGATTGTTCATCACCTATCAGACTGTACCAGTAAATTTTGTGTGGATCATTTTTAAAAAATGAGGCAGTTTAGAACACCAAATAAATATTGTTCTTGATTTATGTAACAAAATACTTTTATAACTTTGCAATTAGATGTTTAGTTTCTTTATGAAACACATACAGCCATAAAGCCTAAGGGAAACAAAAGACTATTATATTAGATTATTATATTAGAGTAAGTTTGAATTGAGTAAGTTTCGAAACAATTGGATAGGTGCCTAATGTAAAAGCAAATAAATTAGTGGAAGAAATGGCAGTAATTAATCGTGTCTATCCCCAGCAGTTTTGGGAGTCTTTGAGTATATTAAGTAATTTAATAGTTAAGTAACTGTAACTTTCTATAGCTAACATCAAAAAACTGAAATAAAAACTTAATTAAAAAAAACTTAAATTTAAAAAAAAAAAAAGTAATTATAGTTTTAGTAAAATTTTTAATTTTTCCAAAACAAATTTAGGCATTTATTTAAGGAAATATAATTTGACTTACTTAACCAAATTTTTTTCTCACATTTTATTTTATTGCAAAACAATTTGAATGAAAAAATTAAATGAAAAAAACAACAACATAACATTCAAACATCAGCTTAAAAACCTTTTAAATGAAAAATTATTTATTTTTAATAGTACACTAGATCAAGAAGCAATAAATTAGATAGAGCGTGGCGTCTAATAAGTTTAGCTTTTTTTATTTCATTTTACTTTTGTAATAACTAAAAGAAAAAACAATTAGTAAAAATAATATTGTAATGGCATTAAATACGTTACTCTGTCATAACTACATAACTACAAATTTAGTTGTATATTATAATAGTAACTTAAGCTGTAAATTGTAACAGTAATTTATTTTCAACCCTGTCAAATGAGAATATTATGAGATTATTTAAATATGAAGATATTATGAAGGTTTATGTTAAATATGAAGAATTATGTTTAAAAATTAGCAATTACAAACTAATGTACAAAAGATGGGGGATAGGGGTTTGGTTGTAAACATAATTTTTTTTTTTCGAGCCCTATAACATGCTTTTTGGCTCAATTGTGTCACATCTTTCCTTAGACTTTAGGCTCACTTTCACCAACTGAACTAGTGTTCGCTGACTTGTGTCCAACCTATCTCAAATAAAACCAAAATTCATCATCATTAATAATATCTCATAGTCTCCATAGGCCATTTCAAAATAGGGCCAAAATAGAGCTCTATTCTTGCAATTTTGCTTGGTTATCTTAATATCCAACATAATGCTAGTTTTTTTTTTTTAAAGAAAAGGAAGTTGATATCGTAATATTTTTTTTCTTTCCATTAGTATTCACAAGTCTAGGCTTGGTTTATCTAAGTTTTTTTTGTCTCAAATTGTTTGACAGCTGCTTCTAATTTATTTTTTTGCTTTTTGATTGCAGAATTTACATTTGTTGCTACTCTATGCTAGAATTTATTTTTATTTTTATCTGGATCTATAATAATTAATATTTTAAATGACTACAACAGTTAATGCAAAAATACTGTACAATTACAGCACAGCAGTTTTTAGATTTTTTTTTCAAGTTGCCTAAAATAATTGCTATTTAAAAATTTTTAATATAAAAATAAATACTATCTTTCAAAATAAACGTTAAAATACAAAGAGAATAAAAAAATAAAAAGTTGAAATATTTTCATAAAAAGAAATTTTTGAAACTTTTTATGTAATGCATTATTTAAGTTAAATAACACAATTCAAAGTAGTGAGAGATTTCTTTATATTATTAAATACATATATTAGGAAGATAATATAACGAAAAGGTTCTGGCCAATTAAGGCAATTTAGGAAACATCAATGATAATAGGATTGCCTTTTTAAAGGTGCTTTTTTCACATAGTCCAAATAAGCCGATTGCAAATAAATATTCCAAATCAAATGCAAATAAATATTCCAGAAGTTACTGGAAATAAAGAAGAGTGTTCTTTGAGTGATCTTTGAGTGTTCTTTGAGGATGACTTTAGTACTGCAGCTAGAAAGAAATGATTTGATAATCTTAAAGACTTTCCTAGATACACCATATAAAGCAGTGAAAAAACATTGCTAGAAAAAACAGAGTTTTTCTCTGCTCTTGCACTCATTCACTCTTGTTGCCTGCATTTATGCATTAAGACATTTTTTGGCATTGAAAACTTGTCAATTACTGTAAGCTGTTGCATCTTGGAATTATTTGAAACTGTAACAAGAAATCAGTTAAAATAAGAACAAGAAATATAATGGTAACGGGAGAAAGTTTTATTGTTGAAAAATCAGGCGAGGCAAGGCTTGTTAAATGGCGAGAATTTCCAAAAAATGCCAAGCAGAAACAAAATAGATTTATTCTCTAAATTTCTATGAATTTTTCAAAATTTTCATAAGTTTATCTTAATATGATTTTTGTAAACTTTACTTTATGAAGTAATCAACGCTTTATAATGGTTTTTATGCTCATATTGGGAAGTATACTACAAGAAGTTAGGAGTCATGAAATTTTAAATTTACTCTATAACATTAAACTAGATCCGATCAGCATCAGTAGCCATTGCACCTTTTATTGGATGATCCTCAGGAAGGTTGGATCTCAGATATCATTTTTGGGTTTTAACCTGAAAGAAAAAACTTATCACTTTTTTAACATGACAATTACTTTAATTTTACGTTTAAAAAGTGTTTAATAAGCACTTAACTTCAAATAGACTATCTTATTGAGAAATTACTAATAATTTGTTAATTTTTGGCTGTAAAACTTAAAAAGTATTTTTAAGAAATCTACTGTCCCACTGCAAAATTATGATCTATTTTATTATTTTTTGAAAATTTTTTTAATTTTTATTAATAAGTTTCACCTGATCGAAGTTTTGCTGGATAAAAATCAACTTTTCAACAGACTCCGGTTGAAGCTTTGTTCATTTAATTGTAGCCATTTGCCCACCTGCTGAGAAGACTTTTTCAGAGGTTGTAAAGGAAATGGGTATGCAAAACTAACATAAAGTAAATATATCCATCTTATTTTTCTACCATTCTAATGTGTTGCACCATTTGTTTGTTTTTAATCTATTCATAGACATATAAGTGTCCCATTTTGTTTTAATATCGCTCTTGCACCCCAAGTTTAATGAAAGTTTTTCATTAAATTTGGTACAGCAAAAAAATTAAACGTTTTATTATAAAATCTTGTTTTGTCTCGAAATGAAGCAAGATTAGATTTTTTGTTTTTTTTTGTTATAATGAGATGACAACAGTAAATTTAAAAATAAGCGAATGTCTTCTGAAATGATAAATTGCTGCGTTTCATTTCGTCAATCTTGCTAAAATTTACTGTTTAGTTCCGAGATGCAACAGCTTAATTTACTAGTTAGGATCAGGTTATATGCATTATTCTGAATCCTTTGATCGTTTAATTTTATATTATTTTAAACATTAAATTTTTTTTTTGCTTTTTTTTTTACTTATAGTAACATTTAAGTTGTTTTTGTTTTGTTACAACTTTTTTTGTTAACTAACTTTTAATTCCTGATAATATTTTGCTTTAAGAATAACATGTATAATGAACTTTTTGTTAGGTTTCATGATATATTTATCAAGTATGGGGGAAATGACGAAGGGTCGATAAAATTAAAGAAACCAGCACAGTTGCAAGAGATGCTGTGTATTTTCTGCAAACTTATTGATGGTGATGTTAACAGAAATTATATTCCAATTGATGAAGACAGATACAAACTTACACAGATGAAAAGCGTTTTAGAAATGTATATTTTTTTAATTAATTTTTTTTATAATTTATTTTTATCATTCATTTTATTAGAACACTTTTAATGTATGTGTGTATTTAAACATTTTTATACAATACACACACACAAAAGATCTTTTAGATATGTTTCTTACTAAAATAAGAAAATGACATTATGGGTGAGTTAAAGCAATTTTTTACAACTGGATGCCCTTCCTGTAATTGAAAAGTTTTGCAGATAAGAAATGAGTATTTTGCAGAATGAGTATTTTTATTGTTTACTATTAAGATCGCTATCCAAAGCTTACAAGCTCCTCCTGTCCTTCCCCACAATTTTTAGAGGGTTTTCTATCAGATTTTTTTCTCTAGATAATGAACATCGCCAGGTTTAATATATGATTAGCATCGTGAACAGAATATTATCACAATAAATATTTATCAAGTTCATATTTGTAATAGATAAATATGTCTATATGTAAAAATAAAACATAAAAAGTTTATTAAGTTGACTAAAAACTTTAAATAAATCATTAAGCAAAGTTTTTACAGATAAAAGAAAATTATAATAATATTTTTACAACAATAGGTATGGACATTTTGATGGGATTAATCGTAAGGTTCAAATAAAGTCTATGTCTGATATACGCAATGCTAATATGGTTTCTAAGCTAAGAGGAAGAAATGGCCTTGAACAAGACAAATTTAAAGGAGATTTAAGCTTGCTTCTTATTGTAAAATGGGGTGGTGAACTAACACCAATGGGTAAAAAACAGGCAGAAGATCTTGGTAGAGCTTACAGATGCTTGTACCCATCAGATGGTAATAGAACATCTTTTGATATAAACATTTTTTTAATAGAGTTTACTATTGTATGTTATATTAAATAATATTTAATATAATGTCACTTTTTGTCAAAAGTAAATATTATAAATGCAATTCATATATAAAATAATCTTTAAAAAAACATCCATTATTTGTCATGTAAAAGTTCTGAATGAGGTTAAATTTTAAAAAATAAAAATTTAATAGTATAAAAAATAAAGTATTATAAAGATAATAGAATTTTTCTGATACATTTAGGTAATAGTATTACTCTAAAGGTCTAGGAATTTCTTTATATATAGAAATGGTTCTATATTTGGCTAGACTTTCATATCATTAAGAAAAGAAAATATGAAGAGTTAAACCAATTTTTTTTTTTACAACTGGATGCCTTTTCTGGCGTTCTGGCTATTTTGCAGATCAGTACTGAGTATTTTTATTGTGGTACAATCATTAAGAGGATTACCATTAAAGGTTTACAAATTCCTTTTACCCTTACACAAAATTAAATTGAGAGTTTTATTTCATAGTTTACTTCTAGGTAAGTTACTTTTATCATGGCTTTAATGTCATGGTTTTAATCAGAATAATAGGAACATTTTTTAATTTTTAAGAATTTCTAATTTTTGTCTATGATATAATTATACCATATCTAATGATATGCTAATTTTCCCAGGTTGCCATCTCAAATTTACTTGAAATTTGATGATATAATCCTATAATAGTTATTCATTCTAATAGTGGTTGTTTAGTATAATTAAATATAATTTATTCTAATAGTGGTTTATTAGTATAATTAAATATAATTTATTCTAATATTGGTTGTTTAGTATAATTGAAAATAATTTATTCTAATAGTGGTTGTTTACTATAATCAAATATAATTTATTCTAATAGTGGTTGTTTGCTATAATCAAATATAATTTATTATAATAGTGGTTGTTTAGTATATTTAAATATAAATTATTTTTAACATTTTTTTATGTTTCAGTTTTAATACTGCCACAATCCCAATGCATTATATTTAATATTTTCATTTTGATAATGATAAAAGTTTGCTGTAAGTTATTCTTACCGAATTAAAATAGAGCTACAGATTTACTGCAACAGAATATTTTATTTGAGAAATGCATATATCATAAAATAATAAATTTATAAAACAATTTGATTTGTGTTTTAGCAGTTTGTTCGTTTTGTAACTATTGACTATAAATGTAAGGACCTTTGCATGTTGTTAATAACAAAGTGACAGTTTTTTCCAAAAATTACCAAAAAGTTTTTTAATTAACTATTGTTTTATTAACAACTGAATTCACTGGTAATTAATTCTATTATCAATAGTTTCCCAATATACAGGGTCTTGTATGGACATGATCATACAAATAGTTAATTTACAGGCCTTTTCATGATATACAAATTGATGTGTTATTGATGGAGATCTATCCATATATTAAGTATGCAGATCAATAAGATTTAGTTTAATTTATCTCTACTACTATTTAATTTATCTCTACTACTTTTTTAACCTTTTAACTCTAAAACGCGAATTGTAGACAATGCTGTTATGTAGACAAGTTCTGAAAGCGGTATTACTAAGAATATGGAGTTTGTTCTTAAACCCGCTCACACCCAAGTTTTATTAAATTAGTATTTAATTTGATTATTTTTTATAGTTTTTGTACTTAAGGGTGCTCAATGCCAGGAGGTGGTCTTTTAAGATTACATAGTACTTATCGGCATGATTTAAAAATATACTCTTCTGATGAAGGTCGAGTCGAAATGACTGCTGCAGCATTTGCGAAAGTATATCTATTTATTTTTATTTTTAATTTTTTTTTAAAGTAAAACATGTTCTTTTTTTACACAGTAATTGTTATAGGGTTTATTGGATTTGGAAGGGGAATTGACACCAATTCTGGTTAGCCTGGTAAAAAATGACAAGTATATTTCTGGTATGTTGGATACTCCGTCTAGTATAAGCTGTAATATGCAGAGGTAATTTATTATGACATAATCATTAGAAACTTTATTTGTATGTTATATTTTTTCAAAATTTTAATTTTAATTTTTAGAGTTAAATCGCGAATACATGATAAATTGCGTTCTAAAGATGATTTTACAGAAGAAGATATTGCTGCGGTAGGTAAAACTAAAAAAAAATTTTTTTTTTTCCTTTTTTAAATGAAGATTCTATATATGTATATCTTTTTTTAAATTAAAAAAAATATCTTAATGTATTTTTTGATAGCTCTAAGTATTATTAATGTGTTTTTTGATAGTTCACTAATACTAAATCAGGAGCAATAGCTGAAGCAATGCGAGTTGTAAAAAATCCTCAAAAAAAATGTGAAAAAGTTTATAAACTTGTGTGCAATTTTACAAATCAATTAAGAGAGCTTTGCAAACAACAATATAAAAACAAAGCCTATCATGGTGAAGGTTTGGTTTTAATGATGCATAGATGGGAAAAGTTGCAAAGTGACTTTAAAATTGGTGATGAGTTTGACATGAGTTTGATTCCAGATATTTATGATTGCGTGAAGTATGATTATATCCATAATATGTAAGCTCAATTTTTACTAAAATAAAAATGTGATAAATTATTCATTTTTATTTGAACTGTATTCATTTCATTATTTGTTGTATTTATTTGATTGCATTCATTTCATTATTTGTTTGTTTATTATTGTTTTGTTTATGATTTTTTAATCACAATAGTTTTGATTTTTAATTGTTTATGTATGCATATTTTATTCTTATTTATTTAGAAGTATTTTTTAACTTTATTGTGATATTAGAATTTAGTTTGCTAATTATTTTTAATGGTATAACAAATTCAGGGGTAACCTCTGGTTTTTTCCTAGTTGTTTTGAGGGCGACTAAAATGTCTTGCTTGAGTTGTCCACTATGATAATCAGTAGTCCAGTATTTTTAATTTATGGATATTTTTTCTTGGGTGAAAAAACTGAAGAAAAAAATTTAAATAACTACTAAAATACGACTAATAAGATCTGATAACTGTTTAATTAAAAATAAATCGTTTCAATCAAATTTGAATTAGTTAAATATTTAAAACGTTATATTTTTAAAGTAATGTTTTTAATGTGCTAAGACTTGTTTTTTTTTAGAAAAAAATTTCCATATGCATCATTAATATTTTTTATTACCTTAATTTTGTTTGAAAATTTATAATAAAACTTAATTTTGCTAATGAAAAACAAAAGGTTCAATGTTATTGATAATTCATATGTGAATCAAATTGGGACTAATATGTTTAAAAAAATGATTTTGTGTTAAAAGTAAATGTAGTTTTAAAACTCATTATGAATCGAGAAAAAATTGTGATTCATTTTGAATTGAAAATTAGCTTAAAAATGCAACAACAACATTTTAAACAGTATACATGCACTTAAAAACATTTTAAATCTCATGCATGTCTAATTTAATTCAAGACAGCTTCATTTTATGTTTAGTGAAGTAAATAATGTACTGCAGTGTGTTCATTTTTAAACATAGTATACAATTAATGTACATTTTTAAGTGTAGTTTACTTTAAATGCTTTTTTAAAGGTTTTTTATAAATAATTACACAGAATAAAATCTTTATAGTTCAAAACTATTTTTTTTTAAATTTAAGTAGCCCTTTGAGAAAACAAGCTGTCCCTTGTCGCCGGACCACCATGAGGTTCCACCCCTGAAAATCTTCCAATCGTTTTGTGAGATTAGAATTTGATTAAATTATTAATTTTTAGTTCTTTAAATTTGAAAAATTTGCCTGAACTTTATGCTGATACAAAACCTCTTGCTGATATAGTAATACCTCAAGTATGTTTGTTTGTTGTTTTATTAACAATTTGTTAAGATTATTATTAGTTAATTTGCACATAAAGTTGAACAAAGTTCTATTAAAGAGTAAATTATATGATTATTCTTTTAATTATTGCTAATTATCAAAACTAGAAAACTAATTTTACACTACAGTTTCTTCCATAATAGAAAAATTCTAAAATTTTATATTTATTTATTACAGAAATATTATTTTATTGTTTTAGGAATATGGCATAACTAGTGAAGACAAAATTAAAATTTCTAAAGAAATTTGCAGTAATTTGTTGTTGAAAATTAAATCAGACTTAAACTCACATGTTAGTCAGCAAGTAAATAAATTAGATCCATCGTAAGTAAAGGTTGTTAGAGCATTTTTTGTTTATTAAATTTAAAAAGGTTTTTGCTTTAACAGTGACATGTTAATTCAGTGCTTCTCAGGGTATTGATTCACCAAACACGCATGTGCGCACCAGGTTATATGTCACAAGCGAAAGTCATGTTCATTCTGTAGTAAATGCTATCAAAGAAGGAAATTTGTTTAAGGTTTGTTATAAAACATTTATAAATTAGTACACACATTTTTAATTGTGGATTAGAAACAGTTTACTAGCAATTTTATACAATTTTTAAAATATAGTTATTTCTTGTTCTTTTTTATATTTACTTTGTATGAAATTAGGCTTTGTTGAAAATAGTTTTCTTAAAAAGATTTGTTGAACTATTATCAAGTTTTGTAGTGTATTACTTAAGAGACTTTATTTAGACACTTTATATGAAATAGTAAAACAAAAGCAAATAAACATTCATATAAACAATTTTGATGAATAAAAAAATTAAACAGTTATTAAAAATAAAACTCACTTCTGCTATAGCATGGGGTTCACAGTGGCTGGTGAACTTTAATTCAGATAAAAACCAATTTTTTTCAGCCAATCATTACCGCAATAATTGAGATATTCCTATATTTATGAATGGTGATGTACTCGATGAGTAATCTACCCTTCATCTTCTAGGATTAACTCTTACTTCCGATCTTTCTTGGAAACTATATATCAAATCTATTGTAAAATTAGCATCTGCTAAGGTTGCATCTTTTTATCGTGCTTGCCACTTTTTTACTCCGGATTCTATTCTTTATCTCTATAAATCTCAAATCCGTCCTTGTATGGAATACTGTTGCTATATTCGGAGCTGATCTTCCAATGACGCTCTTTCTCTTTTAGACAAGGTGCAAAAATGCATTGTAAACATAGTTGGACCAGCTCTTGCAGCCAAACTTCAACCATTATCAAATCGTCGTAATGTTGCTTCTCTATCTTTTCTACAAATACTATAACGTGCACTGCTCTAAAGAGCTAGCGTCTCTTGTGCCATTTACTAAAATTCATTCTCGTGTTACTCACCATTCAATTAAGTTATGAACTGCATAAATATTATGTTTTGATTACACAGGTTAACAAAATGAAACTTTTTTTCATCGCAAACAAAAATAAGCTATTCTAAATATATGAATCCATATTTCATAAGGATTTATACATTTAGAAAAGATTATTTTTGTCAAGTTGAATCCATATCTGGTTACAATTTTTTTTTAGCATGCATAGTTTTTATTTTATTTTCATTTTTGTTTACTATGAAAATGTTTTGTAATTAAATAAAAATGGAGTGTTTAATACATCACATTCTATGCAAACCATTTATTTGGGAAAATTAACATATACATTAGGGTGGGCTGACAAACAACAATTTTTAAAAATTACAAGTTCTATGCAATAAAATAACAAAAGTTTAAAGAATTTTATAATAAAAAATATTTTTTGGTTAGCCCGAACAACCCTTAGTTTTTTTAAATATATACATATAATTTTTTTTTCTTTCTATTGTAGTTACAACTATCTCTTAACTATTTAACTGAAAAAAAACGAACTTTGACGAACAAGGTTGCTGTGCAAAGAAACAAGTTAAGCACTGTAATACCAGGGACATAGTATCAAATATTTGTTGACCCACCTTTATATACATCATACACTTAATTAATACAAATTTTGTAAAAAGTTATTGTCTTTAACAAAACTCTTTATTAAACCAATTTTAATGTGAAGAGGTGGTAGAAAGTTCTTTTGCGGATCAACTAATGAGACATACTGGACACTACTTGTAAAAAGTTTGTTGTTTGGACAAAACATACTTTTCTTAGTATCAACCATCATTAAACAAAAACTGTGCAGTGATTATAAAAAATCTATTGCAAATAAAAATATATAATTGAATACTTTTTATAGTTATATTTTAAACAAGTTATAAAAAATTAGAAAAATGTTTTTGTTCAACTTTTAAAGAGTTAACTAGAAAACAAGACTAGAAAACAAAACTAGAAAAAAAAGAAACAAAACTAGAAAGAAAAACAAGACTAGAAAACAAAACTAGAAAAAAAAGAAACAAAACTAGAAAGAAAAACAAGACTAGAAAACAAAACTAGAAAAAAAAGAAACAAAACTAGAAAGAAAAACAAGACTAGAAAACAAAACTAGAAAAAAAAGAAACAAAACTAGAAAGAAAAACAAAACTAGAAAAAAAAGTTTTTAAGAGTTAACTAGAAAACATCGGAATTTTTAATGATTTTAATTTATTGTTTCAGAAATGCAATGCAATACATTGCATAATAAAAATGGCATATAAGTCTGGCAAATGATCTATTGCTTTTCAATTTGTGTTTGAGAAGTTTTAGATTATGCTTTTAACAGAACTTTTCATTTTCAATTGATATTTTTATATAACCCATAAAATTATATGTAATATTGATTGCATGTGTTCAGGACAGATTTTACTACATTATCTTGGAGTTAGGATGTGCACTTTATTAATTTTTTTACTTTCATCTTTTTTCAAAAAAATCATCTGTGTTACAAATAACTAATGTAGTGTAACAATAAATTTATTTTTAAAACTCTATAGACCATTTAGGTTATAAGATAAGAAATAATAGCCTTTCCTGTTGTTTATCTATAATAGATCATTTTAGGAATTATTTTAAGTAATTAGTTTATTTTCTCCTTATGACTTAGTCAAAAATTTCAAGTTATACTACACAGATATAAAATAATTCTTTCAAATCAAATTTTGTTTGAGAAAAGGTTTTTTGAATTACAAATTATTTTATAGAATTCAGAAGAGCCAATGAGCAAGCAGGCTTTAGAATATCTTAACAACACTGCTGAATTGAATTATCTCACTCAAATAGTTATTATGAAATACGAAGATCTTAAAGCTAATCCAGAATCTGATGAGCGTTTCAAGATTGAAATCTTATTTAGGTAAGTTTCAATTCAATAATTATATATTAATCATTTTGCATAACAAATGTCCTTTATACACAGATACTTTCTGCCCAAACCAGCAACTGGTTAGGGTTTGATTTTGACTAGGACTGTGTGTGCAGCTTGAGCTGATAAAATGTTAGGAAATATATTTGTTGAGATTTTTCAGGGAACAATGCTAGGTTGAAGCATCAAACGGTAGAAACATAAAACTTGACTTACAAAGCAAGCACTCCACCATTCCACCACTTCCACAATTAAAGTTCAATTCATTTCCCGTTTTTATTGTCATTATTATAATTTTATTGCTTGTTTCTACACACTTGCATGGATTGAGCAGTTTCCAATTATGTTACTTATTCAATACTCCTGCTCTTGCTAATTTTCTATTATTTATTCCAGCCCTTTCATTTTAGTGGGTATGCACTCTTTCCAATTTTGCATGTCTTTTGCTTTTCTTTTGAAAAAGAAATGTTTATAGCCAATTATTAAGCATCATTACACTATGTATTTTTATGCTTTGACATGTACAAATATCTTTAATATTCCTTTGTATTGTTTGTTGCTTGCTAGGCTTTTTTTTAGATTTAGCAAAAATTATATTTTCATACTGCTTTTTGGGATTTGAGCTGTAAAAATCTTTATATTTTTTGTATTTGAGCCTATTAAACATTTTTTTAAAAAGAATGTTCATACATCTATTGACAATAGAGACATCTTAGTAAGTCTAAATATATAAATTGATGGGTCTGGGTTCAGGGAGTGATAAGGTTAGGGCAATGGGTATATTATTTTAATACTCCCTCAAACCCTGTAATAATTTAATAGGTCTCTGTAAAAAAGTTATGGCTGAAAAATCATCAGTTTAAAACATAAAATTAAAAATATTTTTAACTTTAAATCATTATTTTTAAATCTCTAATATTTTTTTTTTAGTGTTGACATAATTTTAAAGAAATCTTTACCACAAAAACATAAAGATGTGTTAGGAATTTGTGAACATGTTGTATTTTAAATTTTATAATAATCAAAACAGAGCAATTTTTTTCTTTTTATTTTAGTTTATTTAAAATAAGTTTACAGTTGACAAACATATCGTGTCTATTTGTTCTTCTGTGCAGTGACCAAGGTTCTTGTTTCTCTGCGCATCGACCATGGTTTTTGCATCACTGCGTAGTGATCTTGCTTCTATGTGTACTTTTTTTAGTGATAATTTGGGTTCATGTTTTGGAAATAAAGGGTTGAGTGTTGCTTTTAAAAACATTTTAGTTGAAAAATAAAGATGTCTCCTGACTCTAGTGTAGCCCTGTCAGTCCCAGGTGATTACATGGGGAAGAAAATAATAATAAAAAATGTGCATGTTTTAAAATTTATTTTAATAAAACAACAACAAAAACACCATTAGTCAAAAAAAACTTTTTAGTCATTATTATTGCAGTTTTTTAAAAAAACAATAAAATTTAATGTACTTCCGCATTAATTTAATTGCTTTGACATTTCGACGACAATAAAATACAGCTTAAGAGTCGAGGTAGCAAAATTGTAGTCGAAAGAAATTTTTTTTACCATAAAAGTCTCTTTCGACTACAATATAAGGATATATATATATATATATATATATATATATATATATATATATATATATATATATATATATATATATATATATATATATATATAAAATTTAGTAAAAACACATCTAATTTTTGTGCTCTTCAACAGCATGTTTCACCGTTCATGTTCATCAGGAAGCTATTTACATATATATATATCCCCTCGGAATTAGGAAAAATGAGGTCGGCAATAATTTGCCGACCTTGAACTTTTTGAGGTCAGCAAATTATTTGATACAAAGGTCGGCAAAAATTATTTGATACAAAGGTCTGACCATAAAACATAGAAAAAAGGTTGACCTCAAACACTTTCAGGTCGGCATTGCCGAATGCTGACCTTAATTCCGAGGGTTGATAGGTTATTTTGTGGCCTTTATGATATGATATGATAGGTTATTTTGTTATGATAGGTTATTTTGTGGCCTTTATATTAACATTTCACCAACCCTAGTGCGCTACTAAATTTTTACAGCACAAATACTTTATCTCTTTTGCTATTGTATAATTGTTTAAGGTGTTGCATTTTAAGGTATTGAATTGAACATCCTGTTTATTGCGTAATCTAACAGAATGTTTGATTCTCTTTGAAGTTTATTTCAACAGCATCATTTTTTCTGGCATTTTTTTTACTTGTCTATTCAAACATGTATATGTTTTAATTAGATAAGTAAAGGTTTAGTGATTGAATTATTATTTAGATAAATTTTGAAAATTGAATGGCAACTTGATGAATTGACACAATATTGACCTTCCCTTTTTTCTCTATGAGATTTTAGTTTTTCCACTGGACTCTATATCCAACAACAAATTTATTTTTGTGTACTATCTTTATATTTTCTCTGTCCACTAATATTACAAGTGTGACTTGAAGTCTCAAAGGCAGACCTAAATAAATGAGTCTGTGGTATAGTGGTATAACACTAGATTCATAAGCAAGAAGTACTGAGTTTGATTCTCATCACTTTCTTATTATTACAACTCATTTTATTACAGTTGATCAAGGTGTTTTGGCGATATTCTAAAATGTCTTAATTAAATTGAAAAAAATGAGTTTTATAAAAGTTTCTATGGGATTTTTTAACAAATGTTTAGGATCATTAGATAACTGCAACAACAATAAAAAGGAAGAGGGAAAATGATTAATCCAAAGTTACTTACAGTTTTTAAAAAAGATTCGCAGTAACAAGCATGGGCATAAATTATGTGCATTGGCATGTTATTCCTGACCTTGTATATATATATATATATATATATATATATATATATATATATATATATATATATATATATATATATATATATATATATATATATATATATATATATATATATATATATATTTAGAAGTTTAGAAGTTTTGGGACAACTTAAAGATTTAGGAAATGTAATGAAGCTAAACTAAACTAGAAAAAAAAAACTAAACATAAAAAAAAAAAATTCCTAAGGCAAGAGAAAATAAAATAACTAAAATAAAATTCAAAAAGACTAAAACTCTTACTAAAAATACTAAAACAATTATGTTTGCAGAAGTAACTTAAACATTGTTATCTTTTGTAAGATTTTTGAAGTTACATGAAACTTTTTTACATTAAGTAACATATTACTTTTAATGATTGTTTAATAATAAATAATTTTTGTTTAAATTATAAAAAAGTATGCATAATATTATTATATAAGTATGTATTTTTTATATAATATTATTTATATAAGTATATAATATTATTATATAAGTATGTATTTTTTATATAAGTATGTATTTTTAAATATAACATTATTTATATAAGTATGTATTTTTAAATATAATTTAGATAAATGTGCCTATGCGAACAATTGTTATAAGCAATTTGTCACTTCATTTAAAAGCGTTTTATATAATAAGTTTTTAAAATATAAAAAAAGTTTCAAACTAAACGTAATTTAACCAGTTTGCTGCCAACTACAAGAAAACTTGTAGAAAGTTTGAAAACTTTTCATTAGTTTGCCAGCTATGAGTAAACTTGTAGTTCTACTAACTTATTTCAAATAATATTTGAACAGGATTGACTATGTTAATTCATATAAATTCTTTTGTTTTAGCTTCACAGTTGATTTTCAGAATAATTTACAAACAAGCTTGTACTTTAAAATTACCCAGGAATCTAGGGATTCAGGAGTCTGGAATCTAATTTATATGTGGATAAAGATAGAAAAAGTTTAATACAGATAAAAGTAAAGTATATATATTTTTTCAATTTTCTTTCATAAAAAATTTAGTGTAAACCATTTCTTTTGAATTTCTTTTCATTCTGTGGTATTGAAGACAAGTAATAGAGGTTATTGTTGCTGATTCAAGGAACAATTTTACCCAATAATGGTGTAATCTAAACATAAGCAAAGAAATCGTTTCATCTAATCCATATTTGCACCTAAGGCATTGAATTCATTACATCAAAGAGATAAAGAGCTACTAGCTAATTGTTTTTTTTTTGGCAGTCATAATGAAACCATTTGATTGTCCGATATACTCCTGACATACCTTGATTGTAATCTTGAATAATGTTGGACTACATTTTTTCTTACCTTTTCTGTTTGTCAGTTTAACTATCTTTAACCAATGCATGCTGCTAATTATTAGCACTTCGCTTTTATTTTTCTATTTAGCAGCCACTGCACCTTCCGTACTTCTGCTCATGATGTCTACTTACTTTTTTTTCACTTTAGCTTTTTAATATTCTTTTGTATTTGACTTCTTAGCACACCACTTATGTATGTTTTTTTTGATTTATTGTGTGCTAATTTAAAGAAAATTTTAAGTTATTGGTATACAGGAGATAATATTTTCCCATAAAGTTTTCCATTTAATCTAAAATAACAGCTCTCGTTTGGCAAAACCTATTTATAAATGAGTGTAACATTAATTAGTAATTTGTGTAAAAATTTGGACTTAAAAATGTTTTTTAATAAAGTTCTAGTTAATAAGAAATATAAACTGAAATCTGAAAAGACAACTTTTCAGAACTGTCTAGCCTTGGCGATAAAATTGAAACCACACATAACAACCAGCAGAAATATTTCATCGCAGTAATGAAATAACGTCTGACTATAAACAACTAGGCAGCAAAATAGTTAAAAGCGTTCATGTAATATAATAGTTAAAAGTGTTCATGTAATATAAAAACTTTATTAAAAATCAACCGTTCAAAGTTGTTCCCAACATTTACAAAAATTTTTTTAGCGCATTATATTTTTTAAATAGTCAAAACATCTAAAAAGCAGTCAAATTTTCAACAACAAAAAAATGGTATATGTAATGCATGTATTTTTTTTTTCCCAACATTTACATCATATAACATTTGAATAGAAATGGCATGCAATTGCCATTTCTATTCAAATCTGCAGTATAACAATTCAAAGTTATATTTAACATAACTAAAATTTTTTTTAGCACATTACTTAAATGTTTTAATAGTCAAAACATCTAAAATGCTGTGGTCAAAAAAAAAAATACATGCATTACATATACCATTTTTTTGTTGTTGAAAATTTGACTGCTTTTTAGATGTTCTGATTTTAGATGTTTTGAATAGAAATGGCAATTGCATGCCATTTCTATTCAAGTCTGCAGTAAATTATTATTATTTTTTTTATCTTTTTAGTGCTGGTGAAAAATGTCCTGATAATAATGAAGCAGTTAAAAGATTGCAACATGAATCTAATGCAAATAGTTATGCTACTAAAAGGTCATTTAATGAAGATCTTAATTTGCTGGTGGAAACTCAAAACGAGCAAACTGGTAAGTCAAAGTCTGAGTAATCAAGTTCATCTTTTTTTTTATTATCAATTAATTTGATATATAAAATTTTGTGTTTGCAGTATGTGAATTTTTTTCTGTGACAGCTTAGGTTTTGTAGTAATAGGTGAATTTTTGCACAAATGAAACTCAGTTATTTTCTACCAATAATTATTTCTATATTTAGTATTCCAGTATTGATGAATGGCATTACTCTTACTGCGTCCTCTACTTTATGTCTTTCTGTATATTTTTTAATATTTCTCATGTAAACTATCCATTGCAAAGTTAGTATCTGCTAAATTTTTTAAGTCTTTTGTCAACCATTTTATTTTTCTTTAACTTCCTTTGTTACTTTCTGTTAACTTGTAATTTAAATGATGGATGCTAACTGCTTTGTTGGGATTGAGTTCACAAAAACAATAGAAGTTCTTAATGGTCAAGTCATTATAGGATTGATATTAGGCAATATTTTATGATTACTAAAATGGCGCGCTCTTATGTTGTTAATCTGTTTTAGTTCTTTTAGTAAAAATGTATTAATAGTTAGAAAAAAATTTCTTTACAACTTGAGAAACTAGTTAATATAAATGTAGGTATCTATCAAAATGTTGTTATAATCTGTAATGGCCTATACTTTTAATAATTAGTTTTTATAATTATAACATAATCATTTTATAGAGTAAAATTAGTGCAACCGATCACATTATTTTTCTCATCCATGATACAAATATTGAAATAAATCTAGATTAAATAATAATTTTTAAAAACTAAAAACACATTGTTAATTTCCTGCTTTTTTATATAAAGTTTGATTTATTAGATTTATTGATTTATTATATAGGATTTTTTTCTTTGATTTGCGAAAATTATTTAACGAAACTAAAAAAACTCGAACACAAATTTAACTACGAATTTTTTATAGAAATTTTAATTTTAATTTCGCTGTATACGTTTTTAGTGTTTATGTTAAAAAAATTAAATAAAAGTTATTAAAGATAAAATTTAAATCTTTTCTCACAAAATTTTTATAACTACCTATAAAGAATATAACTAATTAATTATATTCTAGATAGTTAAAAAATTAATATCTAAAAATTAATATTGTTTTGTAAGTAGCAATTAGATTTTATAACTTAATGCCAAACAATTAGCGGTAGTCATATTTGACCACTAGATAAATATACGACTTATGTCATGTGTCACTTTGGCAACGGTAATCCTGTTGTAAAAATAATTTTTTCCGGCTCATTCCACTTACATTTTACAGAATAGAGGTGACTTGGTTTTTAGATTTTAAAAAATTTTCTTTTGTTGCTCAAACATGCATATTAGTGGTAAATGCTTTGCCTTCATTGACTTTTAAACCAACCACAGCAGTTTTTTGCTTTGTGTACACCAGCTTTGATGTTTGACAAGTGTAAAGTACACCAGCTTTGATGTTTGACAAGTGTAAAGTAATAAAACTAAAGAATTAATTCATTATGAGGATTTTAATTTAAATTTAATTTATGAAACCCATCAAAATATTTTTTCTAAGATTTATGAAAAAGTTTTGTCAGTCATTTACAATTCTAAAACTACAGCAGAAAATATTGTAACCTCATGTTGTTACCATACTAGAAGTGCTTTTAAATGCTGTAGTTCAAAACTGCATCAATATCAATATGTACAAATTTTGATAACTCTTTCAAAAAGTTGAAAAACAAAATAGTGACAAGAGTTATAGGTCATTTATGAAAAGAATTAAAAGTATAACTGTAGTTTGCTCTTCTATTGTTTCAATTTACTATATTTTCAAATAATTTATTGATGTGAGTGCACATTGATAAATATTATTATTTATTAAAGGGTGATAAATTTTTTCTGTAAAAAATATCGAGAAAAAGGCTGTACAAGGCAAACAAAAAAGAATAGTTACTCGAATTATTTGATGAAGTTAAAAAACGTAAAATCAATATCATTGATAAAAATTACCTTGCTAAAAAAGATTAAGGATGTAGACAGAAAAACAACACATTAATTTAGAAATTTTACTACATTTGCTTGCAGCCAAAAGTAATAAAGTTTTATTGTAGTAATTTTATTTTGAAAAAATAATTTAAAAAAACAGTTTTGATTTTTATTGATTGTTGCTCGGTTTTTTTTTGCAATCGCTTTCCTCCAATTTTACAATTTTTCTTAAATAGTTAAATATAGTTTACGTAAGTAGCTAGTCGCAATTATTATTATTAAGCAATCGACGACTTTAATCGTTTAGCCATACTCGAATTAAATGCAAAATCTCTCGTACCTGATGTACGTTTCGAAGGAGTTAAAAAAAAGTCTTTTTCATATAATGGAAATTTACAGCAAAGTAAGTTGATATTCTTATTTATGAAAATATAGTATTATTTATTTTATATAATTTTTAAATTTAAGTGAATGAAGATTTTTAAATAGTTCTTTTTTTTTTAGAGACGTTTGAAATGCCTCCGACATTAAACTCTTTACATAAGCTACACAACTGTTTGCGTCTAAAACAAGTAAATTCTTTCATTGATCAATTAACTACTGGTTGTACACATAATCCAAGGTTATCAATGGTTTATGAATTTCCGTCCTGAGTTTCAACTTTTTAAAAAAAAATTCACTTAATCGGTTTAGATTATTTACGAACATCTTGTTCGTCCCTTTTTTTATTCGATAGAAAATTACTTTCTTTTTCTGGAAGTCATTGCATTTTTTTATACTATTTATTTCTTATTTCTTTCAGATATTTTTTATATGAATAAGGATATTTTGTTTATACTTGTTAATGTATAAAATTTTACTTTAATTCTGGATTATTTTTAAATGTCTAAAGTTTTGGAAATAAAATATATCTTTGACTTTAAAACGTATTTTTTCAATGCAATTTTTTTGGGTTGTATAATTAAAATGTAAAAGTTTTTACTAGTATGTACCAGTGACGGTTTCAGGGGGGATTAAGGGATGCGTTTTTTTTTAGGAGACGCAAATGTGATACAAAATACAACAATATTTCAAAATCCCTAACCCCCTCCTCCTCCAACGCCCAAAATTTCTGGATTCGTCACTGGTATGTACCCATTTTTTATTCTTTTTTAACATTTTCATTTAATTAAAACCAAAACGTTATTTGGTTTTTCAAAGTATAGAATAAATACGATAAAATTGTTTATATGTTGTTAAATGTTTATAAAATATACTTAGTATTTAAATTTTTAAAATACTGAAATTAATTGATATTTTTCTTAAAAAAACTGATACTTGGAGACAAACCGAAACAAAAGAGCATCATTTAAAAAAGAGCATCATTTTAAAAAAAAAATCTCTTAATTTTTAAAATCGCATATCATGTATTATATCATTAAAATAAAATTTTGTAGGCTATACATGAAGTATGTTCAGACCAAACTCTTTTATTTAGTACTCAATACATAACACACATGTACCATAAATAAAAATAATCATATATTTGAAACATTATCTTCTTTGCCTAATATACTGTTTTTTTAATTTCTGAAAAAAAGACTTACGATAGGTCCCCTTTTTCAAGTTAGCGATTCATTTTAGACGGAATTTGACAGTAGGGGTTTATCAGTCTCAAGGTGTTTAACGGTTTTACATGTGTTTAAAATTAAGGGAGTTCAGTTTAGCGAAGAATTTTACGAAGATTTCAAATCCAAAAGTTAAAAAAAAAAAAAAATTCCAAAAATGCTTTGAGAATTTGCCTTATTAATTAATTAAAAAAATAAAGTAAAATTAAAACGAATAACTCTACTAAAATTGTATACATTTTTCAACAAATAACTCTACTGATTCGATTATATCGCAATTTTATATAAACTAAGTATAGACTAAGCATAATACGAATAACTCCACGAATACAATAAAAATTAAGTTTAAATATATACTAAATATAAAACGTATAACTCCTCTTACAACTACGACCCAGTCTTCTAGAAACCTTTGAAAGTGACACACCTCTTCGATTGTTAAAAATTTTCCTTAATTTGATGCGGTTGTTTTTTGTATTAAGAGTAGCCCTTCCAATTCTAGCTTTGCGACCCAATGGTTTATTTTAATCGTAACTGTTCATATATCTATAAATTGCAGCTTTTGAGTAACCCTCCATCTTGAAATGGTTGTAAAAAACGTGTTTTCCGTCTTCATGTCTTTTTTTTTTTTATAAAAATTTTTTAGGGCTTGTTGATTTGGCATTTTAAATTGTTATCTAAACAAAAAATAATCAGAGAATTTATATGCTAATTGAAAGAGGAAAGATAGAGCCTTCATTTGATGCCAAATACTAATCATTTTATCAAGCTTACTAATTAAATATCGCTAATTTAAATTAGTATCAAATTTTATGGAACAGGTTTTAAGTATTAAACGAATAGTTCTACTAAAACAATTGACATTAATACAAAACGAATAACCACACAAAAACGGCATAGATCTTGATTATATATAAAATAAAGATAAAAATGTACACCAACACTTGAACGGTATTAATTATAATTAAACATAAATTAAGCATAAACAAATATTTCCGGTTAAAGGGTAAAAGTTATGAATTAACATAAACTAATAAAACTAAAAACAAATATTTTCAATAAAATAGCAAATAACTAGAATTGGATTTCAACTAGGTTTATTTTTATACGGTATATTACAAAGTATTTTTATAGGGTATACAAGATACACGTGATCAGTGAATCTCTTTACTATCTGCTTTTATACCGGAACCCGATTGGAAAAAGAAATTCAGTTGCATCAATATTATTAGAAAAAAATAATAATTTAAGGGAGGCTGCCCTTGTCATTTTGCTCACTTACCTGCTAGCAAATCATATGATGTTTTTTGTAATTATATTGCATTAAATGTCGAAAATGTTATGATTGACTTGTACTATTGGTTTGATAAGAGCACAAAACGAAAAAGCAAACTGAGAGAGTACTTTGAATTTTGTAATTAAGAATATTAAGACGTTCTAAAGCATCTATCAGTTAGATGGCTGTCTTTAGAAAAATGTATTTCAAGAGCTATTGTTTTGATATTCACCAAATACTCTAATAAATATTTTTCTCTGAGGCAGTTACGGCTGAATATGTTTCGTAAAGTAACTGAATTAATTCACCTTTATAATCTTGATTTCTTTTAATTGAGTTTTTGCCGATAGTTATTCGCCATTTTCTGACTTCTTAAAGCTCGTAGAAGATACTATAGGGTCCGACCTAATGAGAAGGTGGTTTTTAGTTCTTGTGTTTTTTAAATGGCTTATCTGCCTGCTTTTCTCAATGCTATCTTTCTAAGTTGATTATTTCCTACTTTCGCTTTTCTTCATACTCAGTTACTCTGCTCCGTGGAGGCGAGACCGATGCTATATTTAGATTTGAACCTATCTTTTGAGGATCTTGGTATTCGGTCTCCGTGTGGCAATTAACTTTAATTAGAGGAAAATAAACCACAATACGAAAGGTACTTGATATAAGTAGTTTCTTTAGATCTTCATAAAATTTTATAGATATAGAAATTTATAGACATCGAACAATTTTGTTTACTTTACTTCGGTTTACTTTATATTTCTAGCTCAAGATATTTAATAGGATAAGGAATGTAAATATTTATATATAAAAAACAAATAATTTTGAGTAACTAGCCCCAACAGACATAAGACAAAATCTAGATGTCTAAAAACTAGAACGTTTTTGATCTTGATTTAAAATAAAGAAAAATTTAGCCTTGAATACATTTAGATTCATGCCACACTTTTAAAGATAACTCAATAAGGTGCGAATATATGCTAAAACTTTGCATTTTCATTTTCTATACTATTAGTGAAGTGTTGATACAAAAATTAAGGTGGCACCTGATGGAACATTTTTTGTAGGCTACTTTTTGTAAATATAGCTTTTCCTAATTTTTTTAAATCCACAAAAAAATTATTTATTGTAAGAATATTTGTGTTTTAAAAGTATTTTTCATATTTTAAGAGATAAAATAACATGACTAAATAATTTTGTATTTATTTTAAGGTATTTAATTGGTTTAAAAACTTATGTTAAAAACATGTCAAATTGTTTCGCAAAACTCGCTCCAAATTTTAAAAGTGTTTTTTATTGCTGAAAAAAGAGTTAATTAAGTGCAAAATGCCTAATTTTTAAAATAAACTTTTATTAAAACAATAATCCTTATTTTTTAAAAGATAGATTTTAAAATATTTTAAGCTAAAAAATTACTTTTTATTAAACGTATTTATGGCCACTTTATAAGGTTTCTGAGGAACTGTGCGGTGTGTTGATAGAGTTCGAAAATTTTTTTCCTGTTGTTTATAACGGGTGGCAAGTTGAAAATGGGACAAAGTTTAGCATAGAAAAAATACGTCTTATCAAATTATTTACATTAATGTCAACTACCTATCTTGTAGCAAATTTCTAGCTGATTATTTATCTGTATATGCTGTAGAAATCATTTTCAAAAATGAAATCAAAATGCATCAACGAATACGAGACGCAAAGAAAACGTGTGCACGAGTTTCATCTACCCAATAGATCAGAGGAAAAACCATTCACCTTTAAGTACTTTGTAGTTGAGAGAATGCCGAGACTTATCATCTACTGAATTATCGACTAAGCGAATGGAGGACCGGAAAATAAAGATTAGACCAAGATGCTATTGGCTATGTGAAAAATTGCGAAAAAAGTGTTGCATTTTTGACAATGCATCGTACTTCACTTTATTTTACTCACACATCAACGGCAAAGGTACTTTCTACGTTGGTAAAAATTTACTTTTTTTTTTCAGCGATGTTTCAGTTAAAACTTGAGGTTGCCTTCTCTCTGGACAAATTTTACCATGTTTCAAGGTGAAATTTGTCCAAATAGAAGACAACCTCTCAAATGTCCCAGAATTGCGCCCAATCAAAAATGTTGGGAGCATTTTGAAAGGCAAGATCAATGCGTAGAATTGGCAGACAATACGTTTAGATCATCTGCGCAAAAAGATCGAAAAATGTCTCAAAGAAGTCGACATGGTAAGCTTACAACGTCTTGCGCAACAGGTTCCAGCTTTTGTTAATTCTGTTCCACAACATGACTTAATTACGACATAGTTAATTGTAATCAAATCTTTTTTAGTTTTTTTAAGAATATCAAAAAAAGAGGGAGTAACATCACCTTAAACTATATATATATATATATATATATATATATATATATATATATATATATATATATATATATATATATATATATATATATATATATATATATATATATATATATATATATATATATATATATATATATATTTATTTATTATATATATATATATATATATTTATTTATTTTTTTATTTTTAAGGAGGTTTGAATAATCTACAGTCGAACGCTTAAGATAAGTCAACAAAGAGATACTTTCCGAAGAGTCATTTATGTAATTTACAAGATCTAAAATTGCCTGTTGGGTTAAGTGTTGCTTTTGGAAACTGAATTGTTCTTTAAATAAAACTTTGTTCTTTGTAAGATCTTTACATAATTTATTATAAATTACTCGCTCTAACAGTTTTAAAAAGACAGGTGATGTAAAAAGATGGGTCTGTAGTTGTTTAGTGTAAATGAATCCCCAGTTTTTAATATTGGTACAGATTTTTTTATTTTATATTATTTCGTAACAGATCCAGTAATAATTGAAGATTTGAATATTTTAAAGACAGGTTTTTTTATCTTTGGAAAAACATTTATAACTACATTGCTACAAATCTCGTCGACGCTTGGAGCCTTATTTTGTATAGTTTTTACCAATTATTTCTTTCAATATGCTCCAAGTCTTTTTAATATTGCCATTATTTTGTTGAAATTGTTTATAGTAATTTTTTTTTGAATTCTTTCTATTTTTTTAAATAAATTTTTGTAATTTGAATCGAAATAAGTTTGTTTCGTTTCTACTTTTTGCATATTTGATGTAAAATTTTGCTTTGTTTTTGATGATTTCCAGATTCCATTAGTGATCCAAGGGCAGTTCAAATATTTAACTTTTATTTCTTTTCTATTCGATAGAGAAATGTTTATTATAGTATTTTAGAAAAGTATCTTTAAAAGTATTACATGCGGAGCTCATGTTTCCAAGGTTACACTTTTGGTATACCTTATCCATAATCTAATGCCGACAGTGACTCTTTCAGATTTTGAATAGAAGGTTGGTTGATTTTTTCTTTAAAAAATTTTAGTTTAA